TTTTTTGGTGCTTCCCCCCAATTTCTGGCATATTTTCTGGTGTTTCCCCCAATTTTTTGGGGTTTTTTTGGTGCCTCCCCAAATTTTTGGGGGGTTTTTTGGTGCCTCTCCCCAATTTTTGGCATATTTTTTGGTGCCTCCCCCCATTTTTTGGCATATTTTTTGGTGCTTCCCCCCATTTTTGGGGGTTTTTTTTGTTGCCTCCCCCCAATTTTTGGGCATTTTTTGGTGCCTCCCCCCGTTTTTTGGGGGCTTTTTGGTGTTTCCCCCAATTTTTTGGGGTTTTTTGGTGCTTCCCCCCATTTTTGGGGGTTTTTTTTGTTGCCTCCCCCCCATTTTTGGGCATTTTTTGGTGCCTCCCCCCGTTTTTTGGGGGCTTTTTGGTGTTTCCCCCAATTTTTTGGGGTTTTTTGGTGCTTCCCCCCATTTTTGGGGGTTTTTTTTGTTGCCTCCCCCCCATTTTTGGGCATTTTTTGGTGCCTCCCCCCGTTTTTTGGGGGCTTTTTGGTGCCTCCCCCCGTTTTTGGGGGGGTTTTTTGGTGCTTCCCCCCATTTTTTGGGGTTTTTTTTTGTTGCCTCCCCCCATTTTTTGGGGTTTTTTGGTGCCTCCCCCCGTTTTTGGGGGGGTTTTTTGGTGCTTCCCCCCATTTTTTGGGGTTTTTTTTTGTTGCCTCCCCCCATTTTTTGGGGTTTTTTGGTGCCTCCCCCCGTTTTTGGGGGGGGTTTTTTGGTGTTTCCCCCAGTTTTTGGGGTTTTTTTGGTGCTTCCTCCCCATTTTTTGGGTTTTTTGGTGCCTCCCCCCAATTTTTGGCATATTTTTTGGTGTTTCCCCCCAGTTTTTGGGTTTTTTTGGTGTCTTTCCTCATTTTTTGGGGTATTTTGTGGTGTTTCCCCCCATTTTTTGGGTGTTTTTTGGTGCCTTTCCTCATTTTTGGGGTTTTTTTTGTTGCCTTTCCTCATTTTTTGAGGTATTTTTGGTGTTTCCCCTTATTTTTTGGGGGGTTTTTGTGGTGCCTCTCCTCATTTTTGGGGTTTTTTTGGTGCCTCCCCCCATTTTTGGGGGTTTTTGTGGTGCCTCTCCTCATTTTTGGGGTTTTTTTGGTGCCTCCCCCCATTTTTTTGGTGGTTTTTTGTTGTCTTTCCTCATTTTTGGGGTTTTTTTTGTTGCCTTTCCTCATTTTTTGAGGTATTTTTGGTGTTTCCCCTTATTTTTTGGGGTATTTTTTGGTGCCTCCCCCCATTTTTTTGGTGGTTTTTTGTTGTCTTTCCTCATTTTTGGGGTTTTTTTTGGTGTTCCCGCCATTTTTTGGGTTTTTTGTTGTTGCCTTTCCTCATTTTTTGGGGTATTTTGTGGGGTTTCCCCCCATTTTTTGGGCGTTTTTTGGTGCCTTTCCTCATTTTTTGAGGTATTTTTTGGTGTTTCCCCCTATTTTTTGAGGGGTTTTTGGAGCCTCCCCCCAATTTTTGGCATATTTTTTGTTGTTTTCCCCCATTTTTTGGGGTTTTTTGTTGCCTTTCCTCATTTCTTGAGGTATTTTCTGGTGTTTCTCCCATTTTTGGGGTTTTTTGGTGCCTCCCCCCAATTTTTGGGGGTTTTGTGGTGCCTCTCCTCAGTTTTGGGGTATTTTTTGGTGTTCCCCCCATTTTTTGGGATATTTTTTGGTGCCCCCTCCCCCCACATTTTTTGGTGCGCCCACCCCCCAAATGTCTGGGCTGTTTTGGGGACCCCTGTGTCTGCTCAGGAGGCGGTTTGGGGTCAGTTTTGGGTTTGGGATCAGTTTTGGGTTTTGGGGTCAGTTCTGGGTCTGGGGTCACTTTTGGGGTCACTTTTGGGTCACTTTGGGGTCAGTTTAGGGTCACTTTTGGGGTCACTTTTGGGGTCAATTTTGGGGTCCCTGTCCCCGCAGGGGGCGGTCTGGGGGGTCAGTTTTGGGGTCAGTTTTGGGTCTGGGGTCACTTTGGGGTCCCCGTCCCCGCAGGGGGCGGTCTGGGGGGGTCAGTTTGGGGTCAGTTTTGGGTCTGGGGTCACTTTGGGGTCCCCGTCCCCGCAGGGGGCGGTCTGGGGGGGTCACTTTGGGGTCAGTTTTGGGTCTGGGGTCACTTTGGGGTCCCCGTCCCCGCAGGGGGCGGTCTGGGGTCAGTTTGGGGTCAGTTCTGGGTCTGGGGTCACTTTGGGGTCCCTGTCCCCGCAGGGGGCGGTCTGGGGTCAGTTTGGGGTCAGTTTTGGGTCTGGGGTCACTTTGGGGTCCCCATCCCCGCAGGGGGCGGTCTGGGGGGGTCAGTTTTGGGTCTGGGGTCAGTTCTGGGTCTGGGGTCAGTTTGGGGTCAGTTTTGGGTCTGGGGTCACTTTGGGGTCCCCATCCCCGCAGGGGGCGGTCTGGGGGGGTCAGTTTTGGGTCTGGGGTCAGTTCTGGGTCTGGGGTCAGTTTGGGGTCAGTTTTGGGTCTGGGGTCACTTTGGGGTCCCCATCCCCGCAGGGGGCGGTCTGGGGGGGTCAGTTTTGGGTCTGGGGTCAGTTCTGGGTCTGGGGTCAGTTTGGGGTCAGTTTTGGGTCTGGGGTCACTTTGGGGTCCCCATCCCCGCAGGGGGCGGTCTGGGGGGGTCAGTTTTGGGTCTGGGGTCAGTTCTGGGTCTGGGGTCAGTTTGGGGTCAGTTTTGGGTCTGGGGTCACTTTGGGGTCCCCATCCCCGCAGGGGGCGGTCTGGGGGGGTCAGTTTTGGGTCTGGGGTCAGTTTTGGGTCTGGGGTCACTTTGGGGTCACTTTGGGGTCCCCGTCCCCGCAGGGGGCGGTCTGGGGGGGTCAGTTTTGGGTCTGGGGTCAGTTTTGGGTCTGGGGTCACTTTGGGGTCCCCGTCCCCGCAGGGGGCGGTCTGGGGGGGTCAGTTTTGGGTCTGGGGTCAGTTTTGGGTCTGGGGTCACTTTGGGGTCCCCGTCCCCGCAGGGGGCGGTCTGGGGGGGTCAGTTTTGGGTCTGGGGTCAGTTTTGGGTCTGGGGTCACTTTGGGGTCCCCGTCCCCGCAGGGGGCGGTCTGGGGGGGTCAGTTTTGGGTCTGGGGTCAGTTTTGGGTCTGGGGTCACTTTGGGGTCCCCGTCCCCGCAGGGGGCGGTCTGGGGGGGTCAGTTTTGGGTCTGGGGTCAGTTTTGGGTCTGGGGTCACTTTGGGGTCCCCGTCCCCGCAGGGGGCGGTCTGGGGGGGTCAGTTTTTGGGTCAGGGACCCTCAGGGACCCCCTGGGATGGGTCAGGGACCCCCTTGGGACCCCCTGGGGTGGGTCAGGGACCCCCGTTGGGACCCCCTGGAATGGGTCAGGGACCCTCAGGGACCCCCTGGGATGGGTCAGGGACCCCCTTGGGACCCCCTGGGGTGGGTCAGGGACCCCCGTTGGGACCCCCTGGAATGGGTCAGGGACCCTCAGGGACCCCCTGGGATGGGTCAGGGACCCCCTTGGGACCCCCTGGGGTGGGTCAGGGACCCCCGTTGGGACCCCCTGGAATGGGTCAGGGACCCTCAGGGACCCCCTGGGATGGGTCAGGGACCCCCTTGGGACCCCCTGGGGTGGGTCAGGGACCCCCGTTGGGACCCCCTGGAATGGGTCAGGGACCCTCAGGGACCCCCTGGGATGGGTCAGGGACCCCCTTGGGACCCCCTGGGGTGGGTCAGGGACCCCCGTTGGGACCCCCTGGAATGGGTCAGGGACCCTCAGGGACCCCCTGGGATGGGTCAGGGACCCCCTTGGGACCCCCTGGGGTGGGTCAGGGACCCCCGTTGGGACCCCCTGGAATGGGTCAGGGACCCTCAGGGACCCCCTGGGATGGGTCAAGGACCCCCTTGGGACCCCTTGGGGTGGGTCAGGGACCCCCTGGGGTGGGTCAGGGACCCTCAGGGACCCCCTGGGATGGGTCAGGGACCCCCTTGGGACCCCCTGGGGTGGGTCAGGGACCCCCGTTGGGACCCCCTGGAATGGGTCAGGGACCCTCAGGGACCCCCTGGGATGGGTCAGGGACCCCCTTGGGACCCCTTGGGGTGGGTCAGGGACCCCCTGGGGTGGGTCAGGGACCCCCAGGCCCCCCGCGCCGCCCCCGGCGCGTCCCCGTGGTGCCCTGACGGGCGCTGTCCCGCAGGGACCGGGAGCGGGAGCGGGAGCGGGACCGCCGGGAGCGCTCTCGGGAACGGGAGCGGCGCCGTTCGCGCTCCCGGGAGCGGCGGCGGCGGACGCGGAGCCGCGAGAAGGACGAGAGGGAACGGAAACGCGGCGGCAGCCGCGACCGCAGCAAGGACCGCGACCGCGACCGCGACCGCAAACGCCGCTCGCGATCCCGCGACCGAAAACGCGACCGCGACCGCGACAAGAAAGACGAGGGACCCCCGGAACCACCGGAGCCCCCCGAGGAGCTGGGCGGGGGAGAGCCCGGCGGCGGCGAGGGGACGGCGGGGGAAGCGGCGGAGAAACGGGAGCGGGAGCGGGAGCGGCGGCGCGGGCACCGGGAGCGGGAGCGGCGGCGGGAGCGGGAGCGGGAGCGGGAGCAGGCGAGGGCGGCGACGGCGGCGCCGGGGCGGACGCGGAGATGTTCCTGGCGCCGGAGGGAGCGCCCGCCGCCGACGGCTACCTGGGCACCGAGAACGGCTACCTGCTGGAGCCGCCGCTGCAGTGACAATAAACGGCTGCACCGGCACCGGCACCGGCACCGGCGGCGCTCCTCGGGGCCGGGGGGGGTCAGATAGAATTGGGATTTTTTGGATACAGTTTGGTTATTTTTGGGTTTTTTTCAGGTGGAATTGTGGATTTTTGGGTCCAATTTGGGTTTTTTTCAGGTGGAATTGGGGAGGTTTGGGTCCAGTTTGGGGTTTTTTGGGATTTTTTCAGGTGGGATTGGGGAGGTTTTGGGTCCTTTTTGGGGTTTTTTGGGATTTTTTCAGGTGGGATTGGGGAGGTTTTGGGTCCTTTTTGGGGTTTTTTGGGATTTTTTCAGGTGGGATTGGGGAGGTTTTGGGTCCTTTTTGGGGTTTTTTGGGTTTTTCTCAGGTGGGATTTGGGATTTTTTGGGTCCTTTTTGGGTTTTTTTTTTCAGGTAGAATTGGGATTTTTTTGATACAATTTGGGGATTTTTGGGTTTTTTTCTGGTGGAATTGTGAGGTTTTGGGTCCAGTTTGGGGCTTTTTCAGGTGGGATTGGGGAGGTTTGGGTCCAGTTTGAGTTTTTTTGGGATTTTTTCTGGTGGAATTGTGGATTTTTGGGTCCAGTTTGGGGTTTTTTGGGGTTTTTCTCAGGTGGAATTGTGGATTTTTGGGTCCAGTTTAGGGTTTTTTGGGGTTTTTCTCAGGTGGAATTGTGGATTTTTGGGTCCAGTTTAGGGTTTTTTGGGGTTTTTCTCAGGTGGAATTCGGGAGGTTTTGGGTCCAGTTAGGGGGGTTTTGGGTTTTTTTCAGGTGGAATTGGGATTTTTTGGATACAATTTAGTTATTTTTGGGTTTTCCTCAGGTGGAATTGGGGAGGTTTTGGGTCCAGTTTGGGGTTTTTTGGGGTTTTACAGGTGGGATTGGGGAGGTTTTTGGGTCCTTTTTGGGGTTTTACAGGTAGGATTGGGGAGGGTTTGGGTCCAGTTTGGGGTTTTTTGGGTCCAGTTTGGGGTTTTTTGGTTTTTTCATGTGGAATTGGGGAGGTTTTGGGTCCAGTTTGGGGTTTTTTCAGGTGGGATTGGGGAGGTTTTGGGTCCTTTTTGGGGTTTTTTTCAGGTGGGATTGGGGAGGTTTTGGGTCCTTTTTGGGGTTTTTTTCAGGTGGGATTGGGGAGGTTTTGGGTCCTTTTTGGGGTTTTTTGGGATTTTTTCAGGTGGGATTGGGGAGGTTTTGGGTCCTTTTTGGGGTTTTTTCAGGTGGAATTGGGGAGGTTTTGGGTCCTTTTTGGGGTTTTTTCAGGTGGAATTGGGGAGGTTTTGGGTCCTTTTTGGGGTTTTTTCAGGTGGAATTGGGGAGGTTTTTTGGGGTTTTTCTCAGATGGAATTGGGGAGGTTTTGGGACCAGTTTGGGGTTTTTTGGGGTTTTTCTCAGATGGAATTGGGGAGGTTTTGGGACCAGTTTGGGGTTTTTTCTGGTGGAATTGGGGAGGTTTGGGTCCAGTTTAGGGTTTTTTGGGTTTTTCTCAGGTGGAATTGGGGATTTTTTGGGTCCACTTTGGGGTTTTTTGGGGTTTTCTCAGGTGGGATTGGGGAGGTTTTGGGTCCTTTTTGGGGTTTTTCTCAGGTGGGATTGCGGAGGTTTGGGTCCAGTTTGGGATTTTTTCAGGTGGGATTGGGGAGGTTTTGGGTCCTTTTTGGGGTTTTTCTCAGGTGGGATTGCGGAGGTTTGGGTCCAGTTTGGGATTTTTTCAGGTGGGATTGGGGAGGTTTTGGGTCCTTTTTGGGGTTTTTCTCAGGTGGGATTGCGGAGGTTTGGGTCCAGTTTGGGTTTTTTTCAGGTGGGATTGGGGAAGTTTTGGGTCCAGTTTGGGGTTTTACAGGTGGGATTGGGGAGGTTTGGGTCCAGTTTGGGGTTTTTTCAGGTGGAATTGGGGATTTTTTGGGTCCAATTTGGGGATTTTTGGGATTTTTTCAGGTGGAATCGGGGAGTTTTTTGATACAATTTAGTTATTTTTGGGTTTTTCTCAGGTGGAATCGGGGAGGTTTTGGGTCCTTTTTGGGGTTTTTTGGGGTTTTTTCAGGTGGAATTGGGAATTTTTTGGGTCCAATTTGGGGTTTTTTTCAGGTGGAATTGGGGTGTTTTGGGTCCAGTTTGGGGTTTTTTTGGGTTTTTTTCTGGTGGAATTTGGGATTTTTTGGGTCCTTTTTGGGGTTTTTTTCAGATAGAATTGGGATTTTTTGGATACAATTTGGTTATTTTTGGGTTTTTTTCAGGTGGAATTGGGGATTTTTTGGGTCCTTTTTGGGGTTTTTTTTCTGGTGGGATTGGGGAGTTTTGGATCCAATTTGGGCATTTTTGGGTTTTTCTTAGGTGGGATTGTGGATTTTTGGGTCCAGTTTGGGGTTTTTTCAGGTGGAATTGGGGAGGCTTTGGGTCCAGTTTGGGGTTTTTCTCAGGTGGAATTGTGGATTTTTGGGTCCAGTTTAGGGTTTTTTGGGGGTTTTTCAGGTGGAATTGGGATTTTTTTTGATACAATTCAGTTATTTTTGGGTTTTTCTCAGGTGGAATTGGGAATTTCTTGGGTCCAGTTTGGGGTTTTCTCAGGTAGAATTGGGATTTTTTGCTCCAATTTGGGGGTTTTTGGGATTTTTTTTGGTGGAATTGGGAATGTTTTGGGTCCAGTTTAGGGTTTTTTGGGGTTTTTCTCAGGTGGAATTGGGGATTTTTTTGGTCCAATTTGGGGTTTTTTCATGATGGAATTGGGGATTTCACAACAATTTTGGGTTTTTTCAGGTGGAATTGGGGAATTTTTGCTCCAGTTTGGGTTTTTAGCTCCAATTTTGGGGATTTTGCAACAATTTGGGTTTTTTATCAGGTGGAATTGAGGAATTTTTGAGAAAATTTGGGGTTTTTTTCAGGTGGAATTGGGGATTTTTTGGTCCAAAATTTTTTTTTTACCCCTAAAGATGTCCCCCCTCATTTCGGGGTCCTTCCCTAAAAAGAGCTGCCCCCCCTCCCCCCAAATTTGGGGACTTTTTCTCACCCCAAAATTTGCGACATCCTCCCAATTTTGGGTTCTTTTCGCTCAGAATTGGGGTCTCTCCCTCCCCAATTCCCCCTCCCCAAAATTCGGGGTCTTCACCCTCAAATTCGGGGTCCCCCCACCCCATTCCCCCCCTCCAAAATTTGGGTTTTTTCTCCTCCCCCGAATTTGGGGAGCTCCCCTGTCTGCGCATGCGCAGCGGCTGTGAGTCTTTGCACGGGGGCGTGGCCAGCGCGGGACACGGGGCGTGGTCAGCGCGCACCCAAATAAGGGCATGGGCGTGGCCACGCGTAGCAGACGTGACTCGGAACGGGCGGTGGGCGTGGTCTGGATGAGAAAGGGGCGTGGTTTGTGCGGAAAGAGGCGTGGTCAGGGGTGGGCGTGGCCGCGCGAAGATGGCAGCGCTGAGCGGGGACGCGCTGGGGCTGGAGCGGGGTACGGGGGGGATTTT